TCCGTCTGACTTCATGCCTGTCTACCTTCTGGTCCTGCACTTCAGCCTGCAGCCAACAATGGAGCCACTGGAGTTTTTTGAGTCTAGAAAGAGCCCTGTTCTCTGTCACATGATCAGTTGTCTCTTTGGGCAGAGTCATTGTGGTTCTGTGGCTAATCTTTGGTTCACTACCCTCTTCCATACCAGCACCTCACGTAGCCGTGTGTACATGTAAGCATGGCCTACCCCTCTTCATCCACTGTAACATGAGGGGCCGGCTTGTTGGGGTATCTGTCCTGCCCAGTACCCCATAGCCGGCATACCCCAAGGAAAAATCACACACAGGACTCCACCGAAGAGGCAGCATGTAACTTGCCCAGCTGAAAAAGGTACGGAGCCATTATGGCTAACATAGATGAGAATAATGGGTTAATATAAGTTATAAGAGTTAACAAGAAGCCTGACCTAATGGGCCAATCAGTTTATAACCTTATGAAGTCCTGTGTGTTATTTTTGTTGGGAGTTGCCGGCTGTGGGGTACCGGGCGGGATAGAAACCCCAACAAGCCGGCCCCTCATGTTATAATCCACCACACTTTGAGACTCACTTGAGTAGACCACAAGGCCATCTGTAGCTGGAGTTCTTCCTCCGTGTGGCCTTGCTTTCTCCCTCCAGGTACCTGCAAACCTGATGGTTATCCACTCTTTGTGGACCTCCCCCCTTGACACTCATGAATATAGAAAACAAAAATCCAATTACCAGTTCGTTTTAAAATATGAAACATTTCCTTATAGGTAAATTAAAGCAATGTGTCATTAATGGGTGAGTGTTGATGGGCTTTCAGAAAGAGAAGCCTGGGTGAGAGACAAGTTTAACATTGCTTAAGCAAACAGATAAAATTCTAGAACACACTGTGGCCACTAACCACAGCCCAGGAGAAAAGTTGTATGTCATGGAGTGAGTGGTAAAACATCTGTAAGTGAAAGCAAATCTACGTGCAAACACTTTAAGAAATCTGACCTATTAAGGAGCAGAGCCTTCCATGGCCTCAGATTTGAAATGAAAGCCATCTTGTCTGCCAAGAGGTCCTTCCATGAGCACCCTTGAGGAAGCAGGTGGCCTTCGGAGCTCAGAAAGCTTCTTCTTGGGCCAACTGTGTCTTCATTTTGCTTTTAAGAACTTCACAAGGCAACTCTTGGGCCGAGAGAATCCCGTTCCCCTTTAGCAATCACGAGCTGAGAAGAGCCAGGATAGCCAGCTACTACTGTGTGCCACGGCAGTAGCTCCGTGCAGTGTGCACATATAGAATAAGGGGATTACTGCATGTGTATGTCGAATGCACCTAAAGCAAAGTGTGGTCATAGAAGCACTAGCATGCCGTTTGATGGATGACACAGGTGTCTGCAGATGAAGACGATACAGGTATATCTAACACTTTCAGCTCCTGCCACCCAATCTTAGTGCAGCAGTTTTCCTGGAAACAGAACAGTGGTTTCCCAAGCAGCATTAAACAGAAGGCATTGAGATAGGACCCTGACGTGCGGCATGACCCCAGGTTGTGCAAAGCCAAGTGAAGCACAGGGCAGAATTACTCAATGGCAGAGCAGTCCAATGGTTCGCCAGTCTCTCTCCAGAGTCTGTGAACTGCCTAGGGAGTCTGCTGATTCCAGACTCGACTGTGTGGGGTTCGTTCATGCATCTGTGCTCAGACTATGATAGCTTTGCTACATAAAACTGCTCAGCACCCAGCAAAGCTCAGGGACATGGTGCAGAAGGCTAATGTTTTCCAAGCCTTGGTCCTTCACTTGCTTCTGTCCCATGGACTGAGATCTAGGGTCAAGGCCACAGTCAAACTGGAAGAGCCAGAAGAGTCTGGCTCCCGTAAGGGGAAAGACTACATCACTACAACCCTTGGCTGTTCAGACACTGCAGAATGTACATTACCAAGACTGGCTTCCGAGTTCTCCCAGTTCAACAAAACCGATTTCTGTGGCTTCGGGGATTCTTATTCATGCCCTCACGAGCTAGACTCAGTTGGGTCTCAGCAAGCTGCCCTCAATCCACTTTGCAGCATTTTCATAGACACTAACTTTCCAAGGAAGGAGTTCACACAGCAGCACGTGGCACTGAGCTCTCTGTCTTCATCCCACACACACCACTGCCCAAGCTCGATGTGCAGGCCTCTTGCTGGACAGTCATCAACCACACTCATCTTTGCTTAGACAGATTCAAGCAGGTGGACTGAAATACTTTTAGCCAGACATTTAGCATTGGGAAAATAAGCTATGTTCCCCAAATGTGGAGCAGTAAATCACTGCTTAGCAGAGCCAAGGAAAAGTGAGGCAACAGTCATCCGATATGACACTTGTGGGCATAGAGGTAACATCCTCAGAGAGGAATGCAGAAGCTGGGTGGCTGAGGAAGATTCAAGGTGTCATGGAAACATCTGGCAGAGGAAGAAGTAGGCAGAGGCTGGCTCTGAGAGACTGGAGAGCAGCTGAGGGGAGAATGCACTCTGCATGAGGTGGGTGGGGAATGAGCACAAGCTAGGATTAGAGGCAGAGGGACATTGGGAAGGGCTGTAGGCCTCAGGGCAGAGAGGAGTGTGGTAGCACTGTCCCTGTTGGCAGAGAATTCGATAGTATCAACGTTTAAAAGAGAAGGTTGGCTTAAAGCCCACAGTTCCCACGGCTCAGTCTGTGGCTACTCAGCTCTGGTTGGGGCCTGTGGAAGGGTCTGAGATCGCAGCAGATCGCAGCAGAGCACAAAGCAAAGTAAAGCTCTTCACCCCATGACAACCAGCACGGAAAGAGCTTTAGGGCATACGTGGGCGTCTGATAGGCACCACCACCTCCCACCAGGGCCCTCACCTGGGGACCACACCTTCCAACACATGGAACTTTCACAGACTCACAAGATCCGAATTAGGACAGTGGCTAAGAGATGCGCAGCCGCCGGAGAACCTCTGCCACCTACTCTCCACTTCCTGTTGAGCATGCGCACCACGTGAGCACGCGCATCACGGGATTCGGTCACTAAAAGTCCCAGTGGCACCGGATCTCTCCATTACCCAGGTGGACACCCGTGCATGAAGAGCATGCAGGGCCTCTGTTCGAACAAAGGCTGAAGATCTAGTCCTAGTGGTATGGCTGATGCTCTGGAGGTGAGAGATGCAGTCGGTGCCAAGTCCAGAGTGAAGTGCATGTGCCAGCAGCCAGCCTCCTGGAGACGCTCCCAGGACTAGCCACACCCACCTACCCAAACCCACCTGTTCTCAGGAGATGGAAGTGATCACCGGGTGTAACCACACACCCCTGCGCCCATTGCTCTGAAAAGCTCGGGTTCTGCCTAGGGCTAAGCTCTCTGCTCTGTCCTGTGGTGATGGCAGGTTGGGCCAGGTTGCTCCCGGGCCATATGCTGACAGAAACACCCTGGACTTTCCTCTGGCTCTGGGAGGAATGCATCTCCTGTTTCCCCGAGATAAACCCAGGCCTACAGCTCTGGGGCCACAGGTAGCCTGCTCAGCCACACCACTCTGGGGCCCATGGCACTGGGAGGGCACTGACAACCAAGGTGCAGGCGACTGTTGACAAAGGGACCAGAAGCCCCCACCGCTGCACACACGCCTTGCTTCCATGAATGCCCGGGAACTTCATGCTTTCCTTCCTCTATTAGGAGACTAGAGACAGTCGGACATAATCAAAGGCTAAGGCGCAGGGAAGGGAGTACACCCCATTCTTAGCAGGTAAATCCTCAAGTCAGCAAGCAAATCAAGTCTTGCTACAGTAAGTTGTGTCTAGTGCCCACTTTGGACCCCAGTGAGGAGCACGGGCAGGAGTCTCCCATGCTGAGCCACCACAGCTGTCCACCAGGAAACGACAGTTCAAAACACAGGGCGCCGACGGCTCTGACCCTTCCTCCGGGGCCAGGCTGGCCACTCAAGCTCAAGAGTTACTACAGTGAAGCCCTGGGCTCCCCAGTAGCCGCGGTTCTTCCCACAGGACCCGTGGTTTGGTATTTTAACTTAGATGGTAAGGAAATGGTCCTCACTTTCTTTTTATTTTGGCTCACGGTCTTGGAGGTGGCACTTCATGATGGATGAGCGTTGGACCTGTGGCAGAACATGACAAGAAGCCTGTGTTCACCAAACAACCAAACACACACATGGGAAAGGAAACTGTGTCCCATAAACCCTGACAGGCACATCCCAATGACCTAAGATCTCCCACAAGACTCCCTTTGCAAACTTTCCTTCAAACAGTGATACGAACTGGGAACAAGACCTGTAACACATGGCCCTTTGGAAGAAATTCCAGATAAACTTGATGCCCTTACACATGACCCACCTGAGGTGAGTCCAACGCTGCTAGCTGGCAGAGCAGGAGGCTCCAACATCAGTCTAGGAGAAAATCCAATACCCTTCTTTACATAAACCCTTAGGAGAAAATTCAGGAAGGTTCAGGAACCTTGTGTGGGCTAGATGTCAGCACCCCACCTCCTGCAGCCCCCATCTGATACAGAACTAGCCTCACGATCCCAAGGCCATGAACCCTGAGCCTCCTGTATGGCTTCCGCCCATTCTTCCCCACAGGCCTTGGTCATGCCTGGACCTAGACTTGGGACCGAGCGGAATGGGGAAGAGCAGGGCATCCCATGCTAGGACAGCTGTCAGTCCACCCTTCCCAAAGCCTGCCTTCATCAACATGGGGAAATTCAAGCTGAGGTTTGAGAGGCAAGGCCATATTGAGTGGTTTGAGAGAGATCTGTCCAAAGAAGCCAGCCAGGAGAACTGGCCGTCAGTGTGGGCAACAGTACCGCAGACCAGTTCCCATCCCCGTGTCTCGGGGAAAAGGTCTATACAGGAGACCGGAGCTCCCAACCCTGGGATTTGATCTCAGAAAGGAATACCCTCTTCCTACTACAAATAACAAAGTTCCTATGGTCTGCTCATCGAACTGTCAAACCATGAATCATCAATGAGGGAATGCATCCCCCACACACAGTAGGCCAGACACACCAAATAGTAAATAATATTTTATTTCATTTACAGAGGGGCCTTGTGGCAACAAGTTTGCATGGGAGAAACAGCACCCAGGTGAACACATGGAAAGGTCATGGTAAGCACACATATGAGCTTGGTGCAGCTGCCAGTGAGCAGGCTCTGGGAGCCAGGAGAGGCAGACAGGAAGACATGGGCTTGAAAGTTTCTCTTTGCTTCCCCCCAGGATGGGACTGACTCCCCTGCACTCACAAGGCCACATGTGCCTTGGACACACAATGTGAGAACAGCACAGTTCCCACAAAACCCCAACAGTGAGTGCATGGAGAGTGGGAGCCTTCCATGCCTGGCAGTGATGTCACCCATGGGGCCTGCCCCCCCTGCTTCACAGGCTGCAGAATTTAACAATTGCAAGACCCGGTGCCTGACAGATAAGAATCCACTCTTCCAATGCTGGTCTTGCTCTCCTTACGCTCACGTCTGCCCAGTCCTGGGTGCAAGTTCCATCCTGTCCTCAGCCCTGGAGTGCCCATGGTGATCTGCAGTTCCTGAGCGTGACGGTGGCATTTGGGTGCTGTCCCAGGCTAGTGCATGGGTGCCAGGATCAGCGGGAGCCCTCCTGAGGCCAGGAGCTACAGCAGTTTGACGTAATTCTGTGGAATCAGCCCTCTCTTGCCGTTCAGGGTCCCTTCTAGCCAACCAGGTTCCCTTGAGGTCTGAACTGAAAAAGAACACAGACCATTTTTTACAAGCATGCTCCTGATGCTTGTCCCCGACACTCACCATGCTGCCACGGGGCTACTGATGACTTCTGCCCAGGGTTGGTAGGCACAAAGCTCACCCATCTAGTCCCCCAGCTTCCAGTCTTGCTTCTTCTAGTTCACTGTGCACCAAGGTGCTCAATAAACACCAGAGAACACAGAGCAGAGCTCACTTTTCCCCGCTTCATTTCAAAATCAAGCTTACTGATCCAGTGCACCCGGGGCTCTTCCCACACCAGTCCAGCAGTGCCTCGAACCCCGTACCCTATCAACCGGTTTACCAACTGGGGCTGCACGGCCTTAGTACCTACAGTACTTCCTGCCCAGAACCTTTCCCTCTTCTTTCAGAAGTAGCTAGCTCTTCCACTGCAGATTCAGGACGGTTTCTCCTTCAGCGAGTTCTGCTCCAACCTTCCCAGGCACCACAGGTACAGTCGGACGCTGATCTCACTCCTACACTGGACGGGGAGCTCCTGCTGGCAGGCCTGGACCTTACACAGCTGAGCACCGTGCCCAGCGCACTCCAAGTGTCAATGCATGCTTGTGATAGTCGCATGACAAGGGTCAGACTAGATATCGAAAGACAGAGGGTTCAAGCCAGGACACTAGCGTTTTGGTATCAAGGGACCCAAACTGAAGCACCAATTACAGCCAGGGGCAGTAGCCGCATGCCTTGTGAGGAGGGGCAGTACTTGTCCACAAAACCACCCAGAAACCAGCTCTGAAACGCAGCTTTGGATCACAACCAATGGAATTATCTTATACTAAAGACCGAGTGTAGGTATACACGCTGCGCCATCCCGTGAAGGGGTGTTTCTCCCGTGCATGCTGCTCTCTTTCTTCTACTGCTTTGTGACTGCCGGCTGCAATCGAGCAGTTCACGACCCACTCATGTGTGGAGAACACTGGTGGTTCAATTCTAACTCCTTTCCAATGAGGTCACCATTTGCTTTTCCCCTTGAACGAGGTGCTGTGCACTCTGCTCTCTGCGTCACCCAGCCTTCTGATACTTTCTTCCATCTGCCAAACAGCTCTAGGCTTCTCCATGGTTGCTCCCTAGGTCCTGAATACACCCCAACCATGCCTGGGCAGGACAGATTCACACTTCAGTGGAGGCTTTGCCCCGATTCCAGACCAGATAAGGGGCCTCACATGTACACATTCCGTGTGCCTAAGAGGCCAGGAGAGACCGAGACTCCTATTTGAGGCTGCAACTGAAAGCACAGCACATACGTATGAGAACTCATGCTCCCTGGCACCTGACTCGGTGTCTCACACCATCATTTGTGCAATAGATGAGCGAATGAATTTAAGGTGTGCTTTCAAGGTGAACCAGCAGGCACCAGTTTACTTTATCCCCTTTACCCTATGCGTGTTACTAGGGCACTATGTTTAAAGGCATCATTCATACAGTACACTGGCAATGCCACCAGTATATGGAGAAAGGACTGGACTCAGCACCAAGCTGCTCCCCAGAATGTGCCACCTGCTGCATTATGGTGCCCTGGAACAGTGTAAACTCAAGCTGAGGTACCAGGGCTTGCCAAGGCTCAACCGTGACAACTTCAGAAGATCTGTTCATTCTTTAATCCCTTCACCACCTCAGGGCAGGGCTAGCGTTGGCAGGCACCACACTGCAGCTGCTCTGGCTGTCAGAAGGAGCTGGCAGAAGATCCCAAAGGGTCTCCTGCGCTGGAAACTAAATGCTGGGTGGCAAGGCAGCTGTGCTTCCATCTTTATGGCAGGAGACACAGTGGCTCCATCTCCTCTCGTTCTCTACTGGTGACATCTATCCTTCTGTCTAAGAGTCTGGATGCTCCATAAATGGAACCATCCATTTGTCCCTTTGGGATTGGCTTATTGCAATGAGGATATCTTCAGGTTCAATAACACCCACGGGTCAGCCTTCCTGTAAACAGCTTTCTTACAGTCCCATGTAAGTACACACATTTTGTTTGTCCACGTATCTGCTCTTGGGCACTGAGTTCTTTCCACCTGCGGGCTCCTCATGAGCATGGATGCTATCAACATCGGTATGCACATGCGAAACTCCCTGTCTTCCTCATTGTGAGTACATTCTCAGAACTGGATTGCTGGTCACACCAGATTCCATTACTCATGTTTTATTGTTGTTGTTGTTTGTTTGTTTGTCGAGACAGGGTTTCTCTGTAGCTTTGGAGCCTGTCCCAGGACTAGCTCTTGTAAACCAGGCTGGCCTTGAACTCAACAGAGATCTGCCTGCCTCTGCCTCCCAAGTGCTGGGATTAAAGGTGTGTGCCACCACCGCCCGGCTACCACTACTCATGTTTTAGGTAGCCACAGTACTGTCTTCCACACACCTATCATCCTGATCCGGTTCCCAACTGCACAAGGGCCCCTGTTTTCTCTACAACCTCACTAATGATGATTCCTTCTGTCTCTCCCTTCCAGCGCTGGACCGTGTGTGAAGTGGTTTATCACTGCACTGGACCGTGTGTGAAGTGGTTTATCACTGCACTGGACCGTGTGTGAAGTGGTTTATCACTGCACTTTACTACCCCACTATTGACCGTCCAGGACGCAGACTGCAGAACCAGCACCAATGCTTTCTATAAAGCCACATCCATCACAGAATCAGGTCTTGGGCCTTTCCAAGCCAGCCCAGGGTAAACTATACACTGTAGCAAACATTTAAAATACTGAGGCTTCTGCATAAGAAAATACTAGGAACTCAGCCTCAGCCTAGGAAGCACAACACTGGCCCCATGCAAGCTGTGTCTGAGGATTCCCCTCTGTCTTCCACCTAACACACTTCCCTCTTCAGGGAGACCATGGGTTCAAACGTCACATTTCTCAGTCTCCTTCCAAAGCTTTAACCAAAATACTTTTGTTCCACAAGTTGATATCCCAACTTGCTTATTTCTGAGTTTAGCCAGCATCACATTGCATGTCCACATCTGGCACTGAACAGCGTTCTGAGATTCCCATGTTAGGAACACATCTGAAAGGCCCTGCTGGGTGATGATATCCACATACCATCAGCCTCCCAGAGGATGCCAAACAGCATTTCAAGGTTTAATCTATGTACTTGAAACCTTAAAAGTTTAATTCCTAGAGCCTTTTAAGGATTAATCTGGTCCATACCTGCTGCCTAAACAATAGAGACGCTGCCTCTACGTGTGGAATCTAACCAGCACACTGGGCCCAATGGGGCTGCTGGCCTCAGCACAAAGTGTGGGCTAGTTCCCACAAAGCCTGTGCTCATGGGCCCTATGGTCCTGTGGGCAAACTCAGTGGAAACCATGCTTCATACCTGACTAGCAGAGATATCAACAAGTGTATTTGTGGGGGACGTTTCCTCTAGCTTTTAAAAGAACACTGGCTGCCCCGAGACCACATAAGCGAGCATAGCCCTTCCTGGCAGAGCACGAGAGAAATCTCCCAGAGCTACAGAAACGCATCTTCAGCCAAGGACTGGAATTCATAACCTAGGTCCACAGAGGAGAAAGAGCTGTTAGAGAACGGCATACTTCCCCTTCCCCTTTCGCACACCGTCGGGATTCTATGAATAGTGAAACCCTGGGGTCGTATCAGACCACTAACTATCATAAACTGGGTTCTGTCCTTGCGTACACTACGGAAATGTATTACACTGTACGATCCTTGTGATTGCTAGACTTCAGCAAGAGAGTGTTCCTGGAGACACTACTGCAGGTTGAGCTGTGAATAGTGGCTACTTGGAATGCTGGCTGGCTCCAAGAAGGTTCCATGACCTGCCTAACTGTCTCATTTCATGCTGGTTGTCAGAAACACCCCACTACTGTTCTGACAAATTCTGAGCAAACACCTGCTTTTAACAAGTTGAGAGATCAACTATTCACTGAAGATAAAAGTGCATATAATATTGTTTATATAGTATTTATCTATATGGTAGGGCTGTACCCTACTTAAGGGCTCCAACTTCCTATGCCCTTTTGGACCTGCCCCTGAAGAGCAGCAGGTCGGCTGTGCCAACTGTGCAAACTTTCCACTGAGCTCATGTGCTCCGCAATGGGGCGCTGGGGAGGCACCGGGAAGACGCAGGGCTCATGGAAGATCCACATCTACATGCTGGAGGGAGAGTGCCAGCATCAGAGCAGACCTTTTTATGGAATGCACGGCCTTGGGGAAGGGGCTAAGGAACTACTAAGATGCCCTGGGTGTCCAGTGAGCATGCCAGGCAGAGCTGGCCACCATGCCCAAGGGAGACATAACCTAGCTAGATGTAACCATATCTGTAGCACACTGTAAAGGGCCCTATAGGGCACAGAGGCATCAGCATGTCCCAAGTGTCTACAGTATTCAGAGCTCAGCCTTCTGAAGCTCACTGTATCACCCTGATACATACTTGCAGACTAGGATGAGAAACCTGATACACAGAACACATAGTTTCCACTGAAGGGGAAAGGTACTGCAACCTGCTGTTAGCCCGTGTGTGTGTGTGTGTGTGTGTGTGTGTGTGTGTGTGTGTGTGTGTGTATGTGTGTGTGTGTCAGGGTGTGTGTGTGTGTGTGTCAGGGTGTGTGTATGTGTGCGTGTCTGGGTGTCAGGGTGTGTGTTAGGAATGCTCATCTCTATGTACATATATGTATGTGTATATACACATTTTATGACACTTTTTTAAAAAGTCATCAAGCGACTTTGGTGGTAGGGTTGTCTACTTCCTGGCCTTTCTTCTGTCCTCCATCTATACCAGAAGATCCAGATTTAGCATAGAGAGACACAGGTCTCATGTCTATCTGCCCACAGGAAGTGTTATGTACCCAATGTGGTTCTCATTGACCTATGTCCTCAGAGTGCCAACTTTAGAGAGAATATTTGACCCAATTTTGGCCAAAGAGATGTAAAGGCAGTTAAACCCAGGAGTAAGTTCTGAAAAATTGTTCTCATAAAAGAAATGCAAAGAGCTAGAGTTACGTGTGGCCTGGACCTGTGACCGTTTCTCACCCCACAAGGACACCAGGCAAAGACCCAAGTCTTCAGCTCGGAATGCTCAGCAGACATATTTCATACCCTGAATAGCGTTTCAGTCTCCGCAGGTAAGTCAGTGCGTGATGGACTTAGCCAGACATTCTGCTTCTCATTCACAGTCGGGGGCATCCTTACAGACCCCCTCATGGTAGTAGTTCTCTCGCCAGCAGAACTATGCGAGAAACCGCGGAGGCTCCTACACACACTTAGGTGATATCACAATTTCATTACTACCGTGTACCTCCTGCTGTGCATTGTTCCAAAACGTGTCAGGACAGCCATGTGGTCACGCTCTCTGATGACTGTGTGTGTAGTGAGGAGCTGCGGGCAGGCCTGCTTTTCGTCCCACACGGCTCCCGCATGGCTAGCTTAGCCCCGGAAATAACAACACACAAATTGTATTCATTTAAACACTGCCTGGCCCATTATCTGTAGAGAGTTAATTACTGGCTAACTCTCACATCTTGATTAACCTATTTCTAATAATCTGTGTAGCACCACGAGGTGGTGGCTTACCGGGAAAGATTCAGCATGTCTGACCTGGTGGCTGGCTCCATGGCGTCTGCCCCATTGCCCTCTTCCCAGCATTCTGTTCTGTTTACTCCGCCTACTTAATTTTCTGTCCTATCAAAGGGCCAAGGCAGTCTCTTTATTAACCAATGAAAATAACACATAGACAGAAGGCCCACCTACATCATGTGTGTGCACGTGCCGTGGTACTGTGCGAGGGCACTGCTGTTGTTTTCTGATATTATCAGGAATCTGGCTCCAGGAGCACACACCACACACAGAATCTATTCTAAATGAAGCAACTTGCTTTCTATACAGCAATCCTCACCAAATGTTGCACTTCTGACTACCACAGTGCGCTAAGGCGATATGTTCTGTAAACTCCAAACATTCTGGCTAATCAGACATTCCATCCTAGCATCCAAGGTTTCCCCTGCTTCCTAGAAACTCTTTTGGGGAGCTCCACCCACACTCAACATCACTGTTTCCACAGCAACCAATGAATTCCATAATGAGTGTGACTAGGGAGGGAAGAAATCAAGAGCAAGGGAGGAAAATATAGTCACTGAACCAGAAGAGAAATTTGTGAAATATTAAAACAGGCATAGCTCCTAAATGTCTGTGTATGAATATTAAACATTCAGCTAAAATCCACACCCTTATTTAAAATGCAAAGTCTAAAGATGCACACACTGTTCCAGCTGGCAGGAGACCGCGAAGCCTGAGAGCAGCACAGGGAGAAGTCAGTGTCTGGATTCCCAGCTCCTCACTGGAAGACCAAGCATTTCAGAGCTAGCACCAACAGGTCTGGAGTTCGCGAAGTCACCTCTGCAGACCAGTGCAAGCATGGCCACCAACAGTGGCTGGCACTCTATGCGCAGATAGTAAAGATGCCTCCACCACAAAACTCTTGCCAGCACTTACCATCCTCAAAAATGGCTCCTATTTCAAAGGACAATTCCGAGCTGTGTTCTGCCTCACATGGGTACACTGCGCGGGCCTTGCGATTGATAACGCTGCAGAGAGAACACAGAAGGCTTGAATGAAAAACTGCAGACAGAATTCTCACAGCCCCCTCCATGTTTCCCAATTCTCATTTACACCCCAACAGTGGGGTAGTATATTCTGAAGAGATGACAGGGACATGAACATCAGGCTGAGATGCGGCACTTGACTTTCAAGTAGATGATGGATTTCCGCTACAAACTTTTCCATGGAAGCCTCCCTGGGAAGCTGTCAGTGAGCCACTTCACCAGACTCCCCCCATTGCCTGGTGGCATGTCCCACTCCAGTGCTCAGCATTGTAGCTGCACACTGCAATGGTTACCACTGACTATGTCAGTCCTGCACTAGCCAAGTGCAGGAAAGAGGCACACAGGCATTAAGCTGGCTCCCGGCGTGTCCCTGTGTGATGCCTACAGTTCTCACAGCACACTGGGAGGAGCTGCCATCCATGTTTGGGTCTTCTTTATTTAGGCCATCTGTCCCCCCAAAGGCACACAAGGCTCAGCCTTTCCTAACTTGTAAGAACATGTTCTGAGCCCTTCTGGGAGGCATGCACAACAGGGAATGATGGAAGCCATACTTGGCCAGATCTGAGTCAAGGAAGGAAGAAAGAAATTCCATATCTTCCTGGAGACAGAAGTCCCTGATGGTAAGAACTATGCCAGCCGAGGCCCAGGCAGACTGACTCGTTACTGTCTTCTGCAAACTGGTCATAAGATGCCCAGAGAAGGTAACATTGCCAGCGTCCGCTCTGCCTTTCTTTTCAACAAAGAATGTGCTTTACGTCTGCAAATAAAAATTCTACCAAAGCACCTAACTTCATAAATAAATAAGAAGGACCAAAAGGACAGAGTAGGTTCCAATAAGGCTCGTCCACTACAAATTATTCTCAAGAACCTGCAATTGGCCATGCATAGCCAACATGTTCCATTTCTATAGATTCAACCACTCCCTGACTGAAAGTATTTCCAAAAAGAAAGAAAAAGAAAACATGCATCTGTATTGTGCATCACATCCAGGCTTTCCTCTCATGCCCTTCCTAAATAAAACGGTGTGGTAAAGGTTTGCACAGTATTTACATCATTAGATATTAAAATTTATCTACAGATGACTTCAAACATACAGGAAGATGAGTGTAGGTCAGATGTAACTATTGCACCTGCTTCTGAGATGCGGCCCAGCCCTGATGGGGACTCCATTATCAATGCCAAGGGGTCCTGAAGCCACTTTCCACAGTACCAACCCTTCTGTACCTGCTTCTGAGACGGGGCCCAGCCCGAATGGGGGCTTAGTCATCAATGCCAAAGGGCAGGCAGGCATTCTCTAACAGAGCTGTCAAAGCCCTTCTTTGTAACACACCTAGTTCCACAGCACACTCCAAACCACGTACCATTCAGGCAGCTTGTCTACAATGGAGGCAGCAGGAGAGAGGGGGAAAGGGGACATCCTTGTTGAAGGAGGTGTACCGGCTGCGTTGGAGCTTGGTGTGGTTGGAGACTGCAGATTTAGCCACTGCACCATAGATGGCTGGGGCTGGCTTGGCCTAAGGATACAGGTGAAGGACAGGATTAATACCACAAACACTGATAACAGTCCAAATCCAATGGCCAGGATGCCAGCATCCATGTGTCTTCATACCATCAGGGATAGAGTCCTGTCTGTATCATCCCAGGATTATAACACCAGTCACTCCAGAAGGAGCCACATCTCAAACTTGAGACACTTCACTGAGCTTCTGTCTGTGGGGAGTCTGACCCTGTCTAGCTTACAGTCATCACCAGTGTCCTGGCTGGTTTCCACCCACCTGGCTTTGCTTCACTTCCTGCCTTCAGGTTCCTGCTTTGAGTTTCTGTCCTGACTTCCATTCCATGCTGAATACAGCTGAATCTGGAATAAACCCTTTCCTTCCCAAGATGTATCTAAGCCAATCAGTTAGTTAATTAGAAAACTAACGCTCGAAGTAGTGACAGGGACTTCTCAGAGGCCGGTGCTCCTGGGCGAGAATGGGCTTAGCTTCTGAGAAAGCCTCCGGAGCTGGGAATACTGTAAACTGAGACTGCATCTAGGCTCTTAGCAGCATAGTGAGCGCGTGCACACACACCTGAGGGATCACACCCTGCCTGGGGCTGTCATTCACTGCTATTCACCTATGGCCAGGGAAGATGAGAAGGCAAAACCTATTTGTACTGAGTGCATATCCATTCCACAGCTTCCTAGGTGGAGACTCTGTGTGTCGGGAACGTGTGTGTCGGGAACGTGTGTGTTGAGAACGTGTGTGTCGGGAACATGTGTGTCGGGAACGTGCTCTAACTCATTTCTACTTATAGGGAAAGTCACACAAACTGAAACACCACGCACACGGCCTGCAGCTGACAGAGACCAACACATAGCACTTTGAAGTAGAAAGGTCCTTCTGCTGGTATTTATATGTGAAAACTTGGAAAACTTTGCTACTAACAATCAAGATTCCTCAAAAAGAGCAAACGACTAGAGTGCAAAGGAGAAATCAATGAACTACAATCAGTCTTTGGTGTTTGAGTCAACCTTAAAATTTAAAATTTAAAGAGATGGCTCAGAGGTTAAGAGCACTGGCTGTTCTTCCAGAGGACCTGGGTTCAATTCCCAGCATCCACATGGTGGCTCATAATCAATTGTCACTCCCTAACTGGGGAAACAACACCCTCTTCTAGTCTCCCCAGGCACACATGCGGTGCAGACATACATGCAGGCAAAACATCCACACGCATTAAAAATAAAATCAATAAAATCTCGAAAAGAGGTCAGTTAGCAGACTCCTGGATGGCGCTTATCCTAGCTTGTTTCCACCACCATAACAAACACCACAACAAAAACAATGTGTGTGTGTGGGGGGTCTGTTATCAAGGGTGTTAGGGCAGGAACTGAGGCAGGAGCTGAGGCAGAGGCAACAGGGGAATGAACACAGCTCACTGGCTTGCTCCCCACAGCTCACTGGCTTGCTCCCAACAGCTCACTGGCTTGCCTTTTACACAACCCAGGACCATCTGACCAGTGCTGACACCGCCCACAGTGAGCTGCGTCCTCCCACAAAAGTCACTTATCAGGAAATTGCCCAGGGACTTGCCCACAGGTGAATCTGATGGGGCTATTCTCAGCTGAGGCTCCGCTTCTCAGGTGGACCTGGCCTATGTCACGTTAATAAAAATTTAATCAGTGTGGGTCCTTGAATATATAATCAGTGTGGATTACTCCTCAATTACCTCAGATCTGGAGACTTGCAGCTATGGTATATAAAGTCTTTTTTTTCTTTCCTTTTCTTTTTCTTCTTCCTCCTCCTCCTACTTCTTATTCTCCCCCCCACCCCAATATAGGGTTCCTGCATCCCTGGCTGACCTAGAAATTAGAGATTTACTAGGCCTCTGCATCTCAAGTCCTAGAGTTAAAAGCCTACACCACTAAGTATGGCCACAAAACTTAAAAAGAGCCAACTAACCACCCGCCCCTACAATGAGCTTACGCTCCTGCTCACCTGTCCATCTCTCTGTGGTGCCTGTGCACGCCCCCCCCACTACACACACTACACACACGCATGCACGCACGTTATTTCCAGCACACGTATGTTCACCTTGACAATGCTCTTCACCACAGCCATCCCCCTCAGCTCAAACCAGTTTCAGCCAGTTGCTCGCTTGTCCTTCCACACTGAGGCATGGCCTCACACTCTTCTACATCAGAACTCCTTCTGCCCACTTCCCTTCCATACGCTCCCCGCTGCCCTTTGTCGACTCTCCCTTCACTGTGAGAACACTGTCCCAGCCCTCTGTCCCACTCAGTGAGAGCAGTCTACCTGCCCTATGCCACTCCTGAGAAGAGGCGCTGCTTTCCACTGCCCACAACCTCCCTGTCCGTGCTAACTCCGGCCTCACAGCTCCGTCAGGCTCCCTGTTTTCAGTCTGCAGGAAAGGTCAGGGGTGACCACAGTAAACAGGAGGGCAGGCTGGGAGTAGCAGCTTTACGATGCTGTCAGCTATTTCTCTTGTCTTTACAGCAAGATCAGTCTGGTAAGATGCCGGGCATGCACAGCCTCCACCACATTCTGAACCCATGGGAAGCTACAAAGCAAACACACTTTAGACACCAACTCCAACATACGCTCCATTACTGCCTCGAAAGATGCTTAATAACTGGCTTCGCTAGACATATTATTCTAAGAGAACTTATTTACAAAACTTGTACCTGCCCACTTGGGGAGTCAAAAAACCTGCTTCACTCTACGCCAAGACACTTATAAATCTTAGTGAGCTGAACCATCTTGCTACAAAAGACACTAAATTCTTAGAAGAAAACGAACCTCTAATGGTGTCTTACTAATCAGGAAGGGAGAAGCGCGGGTCAGTGAGGGTCTCACGGAGAATTTAAGGCCGCAGTCAGCCAACAATTGCCATGTAATCTCACAGCAATTATTCAATGTCCCTGGAGTGGTGTGCAGCGGTGGCTGAGATGAGAGGCTGCACCACCCCATCTGCCTAGACAGAGGTGGTGAACGGGTGCCACCCATTGGCAAAGGAGGGGGACAGCCACAGGTGAAGACCAGCGCCATGACTGCAGCACGGGCCCTACAGTCAAGTCACAAACTGTGGGGCTGTTATCTACATAGTGTCCTGTGCGTGTGAAGGGGAAAGTGAGGGCCGCTGCAGTGACAGACAAGGAAGGGGCGGGCCTGCACCTTAGCCTAGCTCGTCCCGAATCTGAAACTCACGCTTGGGTCCGCTTCTCAAAGGTGTCCTGTTTTCTGTATTTTCTTGTGTTTGTTCAACATCTGTGTGCTATAACATCTCATGGTAGCCAGGTCACCAGGAGAGCTAACTCACTCCAACTTCAGTCTCTGTATCTGTGTTCAGGGTTTCTCCAGCCCACGACACACACGCGGGCACTGAATGAGTCACTGATCTACGGCTGTGAAGGGACGCCATGACCACAGCAAAGTACAAAAGGAAACGTCTACTTGGAGGCTAGCTGCCAGTTTCCGAGGCTGAGTCCATGACCACCATGGTGGGGAGTTTGGCTGCAGATAGCCATAGAGCTGCAGCAGAAGCTAGGAGCTCATATCTGATTTACAAGATGGAGGAACACAGAATGAGACTGATGTGTATGGGCTTCTGAAACCTCAAATCCACCCCCAGTGACAAGCCTCCTGCGACCAGGCCACGCCTCCTAATCCTTCCTAAACAGCTACCAACTGGGAACCACACATTCAAGTATATGCAGGTCACTCTCATTTGAACTTCTACAAACACAGACTTCTGTGGGAGTCTAGAAATGCAAGTCTAGAAGCAGTGTCTGGGAAAGATCCTGTCTCCCGGAGAACCAGGAGCCCTGCAGGGAGGAGAGCTGCATGGCAGAATATGGTTTGAAAGAAAGTGCTGAGGCCACTTGGGCTGAAGAAACGCTGGAATCCTGTCCTCTCAGAAGAGAGGAATAAGGCAACAAATGGGCAAATCAACACAATCAGCTACCACAGCAGGACACAGCAGGCCCAGGAGCAGGGGAAGGATCCACAGCTGTCCGCAAAGGCAGCTTGTCGGGCTTTTCAGAGGACCACCCTCCTAAAAGCATAGACCCAGAATGTGGCTGTTTTTTTTTTTTGTAATATGGCTTAAAATTTGAATAATTTATTTTTTCAAACATCCTACTTTCCCTCCATAAACAGTAGAGGAAAATAATCTTCCAAGAAAATTTCTGTTATTCTCTTTCCCTTCTTTAAAACATTTTGAAGAAAAAGAAATCAAAGGACAGGAAATTAAAATGTAGGGGGCTGTTGGGGGTAGGGATGGAAAATGGCAAAAGGGAGACGGTGTGAGAAACAGAGATAAGATATACATGGCTGAAGCACATCTTGTGTATTATAGAACTGTCACAATGAAACCTTAATGTGTACAAGTAACATATCCAGAGGGAGAGCTAGTGGGTTCTATGGGATGGCAGCCACAGCGGCCTCCCACCTAAGCCCGAGCCCTCCACGTACCCAATGAACTAGCCATCTCTGACCCCAACCCGTCTCTGGGCTTCTTTACGCCTCTGCACATCCAATCTTCTGGACACCATGGTTTTGGACTGTTTTTGAAAATATCTGTGGGGAAGATGGGCTTGGAGACAATAAAAACTGTGTCTCTCTGAAGAAAAGAGTGGCCTTCATCTATCAAATAAGACTCATGGATGACCAAATAAGATGACCTGAATTCTTTCCTATGCTACCCACACAGTGACCGCCAGGCACCCCTCATGATCACACTGGGAAAGTGGGACAAGACAATACCCATGCTCTGACTACTGCCAGTGGCTCTGGGCTGGGAGTCCGTATCCTTGGGCGGAACACGTACAGCCTGCAGGCAAATTTAATAGTGTGCAAGTACAAGAGCATTTCACTCCCTCCACAGTGTTGGCCATGTTGTCTTTGGGAAGCTGTAGAAATGGTTACCCTGATCATCTTTGGGTATTTTTTAGTTCACATAAGAACCCAGCTAAGAGTCTCTGGGCTAAATAGCAAAATGGATTGGTGACATC